CAAATGCGGGGTTCCACAAGGGTCGATCCTGGGTCCTCTCCTATTCCTTATTTTTATAAATGATCTCCCACTCAATATTGAATCAAGTCAGATAGATTTGTTTGCTGATGACAGTACCCTGCATTGTTCACACAAAGATATTAATCCATCGCCAATAATCTCCAAAATTATCTCTATTTGGTTGCTAAATGGTGTAAAAACAATGGGATGGTAATCAATCCTTCGAAAACAAAATCAATGCCGATTTCATCAAAACACAAAAGAAATCAGAAAAACCTAACTTTATCACTCCATGGTGAGAAAATTGAGACGGTTACTACCGCAAAATTACTTGGAATTCAAATTGACCAAGACCTTAATTGGGAAGCACAGAAAGCAGATATGTCTAAAAAAAACTTGCATCAAAAATATTTCTCCTAAATAAGATAAAAGATCATTTACCTTACGAGACAGGAATTTTGTTTTATAACAGTTACATACTACCAATATTTGATTATTGCTCTATTATTTGGGGAAATGCTACCAAAAGTAGATTAGACATTCTTTTAAAATTACAAAAGAGGGCAGCAAGAACTATTCTTGATGCACCGATTGAAACTCCGTCCACCTCTTTATTTACTAAACTCGGTTGGCTTACCCTTACACAGAGGATTCTTTACAATAAAATTGTCTTAGCATTCAAAATTATTACATTTAATACTCCACTTTATCTAAATTTCTATTTTATTGAAAAATCTCTTGTTTCCAAAACGGATATCTTGCTCCGTTCACAGACCAGTAAATCTCTTTTTCTTCAAAATTGCAAAACGGAATCCATGAAACGTACTTTTCATTATTCTGCATGTCTTTTATGGAACAATCTGCCTTTTGATATAAAGATGTGTAAAAATGTTGAAAATTTTAAGATTAAACTGAAGAGTCATTTATTTTGCACACTGAAGGAACCATAATATTCAACTGACAACATACTTATTATTTTTAACTTGCAACTGCATTCTATTTTATTTTGTGTGTAATTATAGTGTTCTTCCTATTTTCTACTTGTATAATGTATATGTTTTGAAGTTTGGGAGTGACTTATCAAACTCCCCACTTTAAAATGCTATTGCATTTCTAATGATTTTAAATTTATCCTGATATTACATGTATATATGTCTTTGTAGCTTAGGAGGGACCTATGGAAGATTAGTTTTTTTGCAAACTAAATACGTTGCCTCATTAAATAAAGTTTTTATTATTATTATTATTATTATTATAGTATCATGCAAGGTAGGGCTTGTGATATATCATGTATAGGGTTTTCGTAGCCACTGAATTTAAAATTGAATTATTTATTGGAATTTTCGATGAAACGGAAAGGTTTGTTTCGCACAGGTATTAGCTTAGAAGGGACAAATACAATTTGTAGAACCAGATATTTGATGTTAGTGAACCCATTTTTTCTAGGACACCTGTTTCACACAAAATCTTATTTTCTATCCAGACGAACCTTCAGTATAATAATCTATATGCATACAAAGTTTATGAAAATACACATTCAAGCAGCATTTAATATGGTCTACCCCCTGTAGGACACTCCCTTTAACTTAAAAATAAATTGTTTATTGGAATTTTCGATTAAACGTAAACTTTCTGTAAAATGTAAAATACTCGACTAATATACCAGTTGTAACATGTTTAACATCATATCTTTCCACGCGAATTAACAACAAATTGTTCATTCGATAAAACGGAAACATTTTTATACTTGTAAAATAAATACCTATTGTGTATATGATACGTTGAAGTCTACCATGTAATACGGAAATTTGCAACACGTTTATAAGCACCATATCTTTCTACATGAACTAACAATAAATTGTCCATTGGATAAAAAGGAGACATTTTTTTATATATATAACTGTAAAATAATATATGAATTATCGTTTTAACATCATATCTTTTGCCTCCCTTTTCAGGGATGGACACTCAAAAGGGGTATGGTAGTTTCGGGGGTCCCTAAACTTGTCAATGTTCTCGCGTAGTTATGAATTTATGTCGTTTTTGATGAATTATTAAGATATATGCATAAGCTAAAAACACCAGGATATACTCTAGAAAGTACCATTTAAATTACAGTCAGTTTTTTCAAAAGAAATTTCGAGCCTGGTTGTAGAGAACCCCGTCGTTCACCTCACGGAGCAAAGATAAGCCTGTCCTATCCTAGGTATCATATGTGTAATTTTATGTCAACTTCATAATTTTCAGTATAAATATAACATTTACTTGACAATTATCACAATTTTCATCTGGCCTTAAAACATTTTAATTGGATTTGTGTTCCTGGTGTTATAAGCTTTCCAAATATGTATAGTTTGTTTAATAGGGAGGACCTTGTAGCGGAACTGTGTTTCTAAGCAAGCTTTGGTTGCAGGCCTACTAGACTATATGAAAAAAGTTGCCGGGCATAGAGGCGTTAATGTAAAAACGGACCACATTACAATTTCTGAACGAATAAGAGATCTTAAATTCTTAACAACTGGATATATCATAAATAATTCTCAATACGGCTTAAAATGGTGCAAAGGCATAGTAGATGAAATTAAAATGACTCACTATTTTGGTGAAATGTCTTGTGATCTGTGAGATACAAAATAATCAATTCCATTTTATGTCCCATTCTATTGTTTATGGGGTGTGTGTGTGTGTGTGTGTGGGGGGGGGGGGGGGGTCACATAGGATGTGTCATATTTAGCAGTATCATTAACATCATTTTCAGCATTATTTTTGAGTTTTTATTCATGTTCAGTGACTCTGAAAACCTTATAAAAGAGACATTATAAGCTATATAAAACAGTCATTCATGTTATGGAAATTCTGACCGTCATTTTGAATTTTCCCCATCTTGGATTTTTAAAACTCTTTGTTTAGATTAAACAAACATTGTGCAAGAGCTAAATCTGCCTATTGCAGGTCTTTCTTTAGGCCTGAAATGTTTTCTAAATTATTATTTAGACATTAATTAACTGACCCAGGCCATAATCAACTCTCGATGGCATCGGATTTCTCCGATATTAAATAAATTAGAACGTATCAGTCATATTTTGATTTAATCTAAAAATGGAGGAGCGAGACTTAGCTTCGAGCAACCAGTACAGTGGTTGAAATTATTGCACGTGTCTTGTCAAACCTTCAAAGGCTAATATCTTCGCTCGCAATAGAGTAATTTGAATGAAATTGTCAAATTATTCATTTTACATTATCTATTTTCGAACTATTGTAGCAAGAATGGCTAGCTCTTTATCTAAATCTTACGTAATGAATCTTTAATTGTAAGCTCATTGGATAGTACATGTCATATCAAACAATGAAATGACTATATTATCTGACATATTGGCCATTTTAGGAAATTTTGTCGCCATTTTGAATTTCCGCCATCTTGGATCTGGGACACTCATATCTAAATCTTACGTAATGAATCTTTAATTGTAAGCTCATTGGATAGTACATGTCATATCAAACAATGAAATGACTATATTATCTGACATATTGGCCATTTTAGGAAATTTTTTGTCGCCATTTTGAATTTCCGCCATCTTGGATCTGGGACACTCATATTTGAGATTATTTTTTATGATCAATGTATCTGATATCTATTCAATCACTTAAGTTGACCAAACAGATAATTTGGCTTATATGGGTCTGAACACGATTTGTTAGTAAACATACGAACGGACATGAAAAAAAAATCGAAAATGTTGCTTTTTTCAGATTAATCTTTTATTTTAAAACTGATAGTATTGATTAAACAACATATATCATATACCAGCAGATGCAGAATTATATTATGAACATTTTGAAATATATTACATATCCATATAGGTGAAACTGTTGAGGAGTTATGAAGGCTTCCCCGACTCGCACTATTTCAAATAAGAAAAAAAACGGCGGCCATTTTTTTTAAAGATGGCCGCCAAACTGACATTTGGCAAAGTGACCCGGAAGTCCATCAACCCATTTTGGACACTTTAGACCTAAGGCTAACTGAAAATCATAGTTAAACCAATTCATCAAATTGGTAATGAATATCTGCCTGTCACATGGACTAGTATGCCCCTCTTCATTATCCCAGTCGGAGCAGAACAGTAGGATGCTAAAGCCAATTTCATTTCATTTCATTTTCATTTCGTATCGGATTGAAATGGATTATACATTTTCGAAAATCTTAATGTTAATTATAGGTTCATAGGAATTACGGGCTAAAATAAAAACAAACCAAGGTGTGTGGGTTATAATAATTAGTCAACAAGCGAACTAATAAAATCAATCGTATATCATTTATATCAGATGTGGTCACAGCTGATATTGGGTCATTGGGGCTGTAATATGGAGAATAATCTGATAAGACAAAGGTAGTGCTTCATATTTTTAGAACAACTGATACACTTCCGATTAAACATGCATTATGCAAGAGCTAAATCTGCCTATTGCAGGTCTTTCTTTGGGCCTGAAATGTTTTCTAAAGTATTAGACATTAATTAACTGATCCAGGCCTTAATCAACTCTCGATGGCATCAGATTTCTCCGATATTAAATAGATTAGAATGGTTCAGCGATACTTTGATTTAATCAAATATGGAGGACCGAGACTTAGCTTCGATCAACCAGTACGGTGGTTAAAATTTTTACACACGTCTGCCAAACTTTCAAAGGCTAATATCTTCGCTTGCAATAGAGTAATTTGAATGAAATATTCAAATTATTCATTTTACATCACCTACTTCGAACTATAATAGCAAGAATGGCTAGTTCTTTATTTAAATCTTACATAATGTATCTTTAAACTTTGTTGTAATGGTGTATTCTTGGTTTCTCAGACACTAAACAGCATCCAGATATCAAAAAGTAATGTAAAATTAAATGTATACTTTGTTTAAAAAAAACCAAAAAATTATATCATCATAATAGAAAAAAATTCACAAACATCATTTGTGATTTATTATTAAAAAAATATGTCTCACCTTTCCGATCTTTGATATCTGCCGTCATGTTATATCAAATAGTTGACGATTTAATTTGAACACATTTTAGCATATACACACTTTAATATATACATCCACTCGGCTAATAAAAAAAAGTAATGTCTCTTCATAACTCTGTTATCTGTATTAACACCTGGTAGGGACATGATCACTGATAACATATATACATACATCGTATCAACTAAAACAGCATTCTCATATAATCTACATTGAAACTTTGTCAGATCGCGATCAGTAAATTAATTCTAAAACTAATAAATCTCATGATTAATCATAAATTCTTAACATGAAAGTCCCATGATCAGATTTGTGGAAAAGAAGGGCACTATCTTTAAATTTATTATAATATACATTAAAGTTTAATAGTACCATTCATGGGTAATCCTAGTATATACGTTACAGTTTAATATTATCATTCATGGGTAATCCACTTTGAACAAAACTTCATGGACTGTAAATTTCTGAAAAATGATTAACTAATGTTTCTAAACGTAACGTAAACCTTAAGATTTTAGCGTAAGTTATAAATAATATACTCTGGGCTTTACTATGATAAATCAATGTTTATGGTTGTGTTCCGAATCCCGCCAGTAAAAAATAAAATTTCACTATCTTAAAACGATAGACAAGAAAATTAGAAAACGGCAACGTCACTGCAGATTTTTTTTTATTTTCAATTACGCGTTGAAAAACAATTCAATTAACTCGACAAATTTCTTTGTCTCAAAGATATAAATATATTTGTGCTACGACATTGGCATGTTGTGTCAATCAATTTGACAATAACACATTTGGATAATTCAAATTCTACCTCGACAACTAAAATATGAGTCTATGGTTGACTGTCCTGGTGCAGTTAGTCAAACTTGACTTTCTTAAATAAAAGTAGAACAAAAAAAAACCAACCTTGATAACCTTAACTATTTGTGAAAAAGTACTGGTCATTTGAGGTCAGTTCCTTAATCATAAACAAGGCTTTTGTGATGTTATCACCAATTCCATTTCCATGACATTTACAGAATTAGAGATTGTTTATAACCGCTTTATATCCTTATTTGGAGTCGATTTAATAAATTCCTTAGAGTAGAATCCTAAATTCCATAGTTTCAAATGTCGGAATAACGTTTCGTGGAAAATTACTATTAATTTTTTTTTTATTCTCATGAAACTAGTATCGTTTAATTCGGGTAGGCCATTTTTATTTGCTGACAGAAATAGTAATTATTGTAAAATATCTTATTTAATGACAATCCTTATAACTTCCGTATCACGTTATAGATTCCTCATTGTGTGTTTAACATTATAAATATTCCTTTTTGACGTTTCGCCGTTTATCGTTATAATTCCTTATAATGGGCATGTCATAATGTCTCCAATATAAATTCCTGTGTAGTCCTCATTATAAGTTTCTTATTGTGGTGTCCCCCTTATAAATTCCTTATAGGCCGATATCGAAAGATCACAATCGTAAATTCCATAATTCCAAAGAAAGATTTAGTAGACTCTACACCTTCCCTTGTCCACAATTACGGTATTGAATTTAATTAATTAAATTAAAGAATTTTGACCGTCTATTCACTTGTTCACTTCCTAGTTGACTCCGTTTGAAATTCACACACCTTGGGGGATAGACTCCATAAACGTGCACCCACGCAACTGTAGTTAAATAGTGTTAATTCTAAATAATTTAAGAAATTTTCTTGTTAAGCCTCTGACATCACGAGTCTTTATCATCAAGGCATGTCTGTACTTTTAAAGTTGTTTTGTGCGTATTTCTTAATTCGCAACATCCCCGTGGCCTTCTACGTTAAATTTCTCTGCTTTAAAGGGTGATTTTTAAATTTAGTTTTCGGTTATATTAATCTATGAAGCATATCTTTTCAATTAGGAAAATTTGTGTATATTGTAATGTTTTAATTGATATATATAGAGCTAATATAAGAATATTGTATTTTCTGTATTGTATAATACACAACAGACACAGTAATAGTCACAAGGTTATAATGAATTTTACAACTAAGACATCTTTACATTAATTTATCATGTAGGCCATTTAAGGTTCTTAAATAAGCTACGTTTTTCTTTTGATTCTGTTTATGTTTACGGTTTATGTTATTATTGTCCGTTTTTTTTAAAAAGTCTATTTCTGCAGACAATTCTTTGTCCTGACCTTCCGCTTGTATTTATGTTGTAAGAATGCGTGCGTGAGAATCCTTATTTTTTTTCAGTTGTTTTAAGTTGATCTTTTTATCTTCAGTTTTCAAATTGACTACTGTACTTCTGTTATAGTTAAAGGACAATTAATTGCATGTCTTATATCAATTGTATCTGGCCATTGTGTGTACTCCTCTTTAATTAAACCCATTTTTAAAAAAAAAATCAAACAAAAAAAAAAAAAAAAAAAAATCATATAAATTTTTTGGATCATATTTTTTTTCCATTGATTTAACTACGTTGGTGAATGTATGGCCAGGTTAAAGAGGAGCATTAATCTTCATTCAAAGATAGTAACAAAAATAGTGCGATTTATTAAAGAGCCCTGTCGACTTTAAGCAGTCCGTAAAATCTCGTACAACGGGTGTGAACCATTTTACACATCAGGTATACACACGAATAGTAATCGACAGCCTACGTTATTGAGGAAGTTTAAAATCATTATACCTTCTTGATTGAGCAAAAAAGAAGAAAAAATGGATAGTTAGTTAGTTAGTCACTACATACCATTTTGTATATAATAATATCTTTAATTCCTAAATTAATAAGGCTTCTGTTGGATCACCACGACACACAATATCTACATATAATCGTGACTGTCACAATCCAAATTTGTTTTTGTTTTGTTTGGTTCTTGTGTTATTTATTTTAAATTTTTATTTATTTATTTTTTTTTTTTTTTTTTTTTGGGGGGGGGGGGTCGGGGCGTTCCACTTTATATCTAATATCATACCACGTACAACTGGGGAATCGAAACCACGCCAATTGACTCAATGACAGACTTTATGATACAACGCGCACGCTAACCATTCGGCCATCCAACCCCCTATACCAAATGATTTTGTTCTTCAAAAGATCACCACGTATACAATAAGATTTGACATTCTGTTAAAAAGCCCGAAGACTTTAATCGCTAGCTGATAATCGATATTCTCAAATAATCTTAGACAGAAACTCTCCTGCTATGAAAAAAATGCATATTAACTGATAATCAAATAATGTACCAAGGTCAATCTTTAAGTCATAAAATAATATAGGATGTGAAAAAATGGACACGTTTATGTAGCGAATATAGAGTTTCAAATAACGTTTTATTCTCTTCAATATATTGAAACGATGGTGGTCATGGTCGCTCTCATCTCTTTGCGTTCTCTCTTTTCTTCTTCGGGTTTGGCTGATTTTAAGTAAAACTAAAAACAAAAACGTGGGCCAATTATTTAAAAGTTTAACATGTAATTTTATTTTGTAAAAAAAAAAAACATATCAAGTTTAATTGCCTTTTATATTATTGCTAACTTTGCTCGACCTGTAGCCTATAACTGAGTTCATATTATATAAAATGTTATAAACCCCAGAATGTACCATCCATCAGATATCCTTTATTACATAAAATGTCAAAAGTATATGTGCTTGCATCAAGCTTGATTGTCTTTCGTCTCTTACATCTCTTATTCGGAAGTATATGAAACGGAAACAGTAATAACACAGACTGTTTCAATGTAAATTATACTTGTTACTTGAATTTGTCATGTTTTGTTTCTCGGAAAAATCACTATAAGTCTCAATTTTTTGTCGGTTTTGTTTACCTTTTTGCTCTCGCAATGTTTGATGCTCGGTTCCCACTATTACGATTCGCGCTACGATTGAAATCGTGGTTTTAATCGTGGAGTAATCGTAGTGATCGTATCAGGTCTTAAGATATATTGAGGTCAGTCGTAGCAATCGTGTGATCGTATCGAAACGTATCCGAACGTATCAGATCGTGGCTTAAATAGGGACAATCCTACCGTAACGCATCGCACGACAGTGGGAACCTGGGTTTACATAATTCCCTAATATGTTTGGGAAAGAATAGAGTGATAGAATGGAAGAAGATAACCCCAGGATTACCAGCCCAATATTGTAAATGCACAACAATGAGAAGTGGTATCAGATGTTATAGAAAGAGTGTGCATACCGGATGCTTTGGGTCAGGATTTCAGACGTCGAAAGCTACCGCGTAGAAGATAACCTTGAGGATACGTTTTATTGTTGTTAACACTACAATCAAGTTACCATGACATTATTAGTTAAAACGTTAAAAAATCTATAAGAAAGAGAAACTCAGTAGGTCGAATGAGGACGTGTCTTGTTTTTTTACGGTTAAATATGTAGCACTCATGTTTGTTTATTTGTTGAACAAATTTGTTTAAATTCTCGAAAGAACGTAGAGAGAAAGGTTTCTTAAAAGTAACATTTAAAACGTGTCAAAAGTTTATTGTTGTGCACAATAATTTCAATTCAGACTTGTTTGTATATTGTTTTCCTATTTGATTTAAAGTGGATAACGCGAATCATTAATTATGGAACTAATTAAAATCCAGTTTAATAAATGATCATTTAATAGATAAATAAAAACACTAAGACTAAAATCATCAACTAAAATTTCCTAACAAGTAGACATTAGACGATGTCTTAAATAATAGATAACGATATAGATAACGTGATAGAAAATGATATAGAAAATAATGATATGGATAATAATGATATAGATAACGCGATAGATGATGTGATAGATAATGTAATATATGATGCAGGAAGACTGCACAGCACAGCAGGTAAAAAAAGGTACAAATCAAAATATTAAATTTCCTAATAACTTCCTGCAATAGACAATGTATATAACGTATAGATAATGGTAATGGCGTATATGACATAATAGATGATGTGCAAAAAGTCCAAATTCTAAAATGAATCCTACGCGTTTAAAGAATAGAAATCATAGATGAACCCAGTGATAAATTATATCAAACGTTTTAGACAAGGTTGGACACAAAATAAAGATGAAACGAAGCGTAATTGATTGTCTGATTTTTAGATAGCATAAGCTGAATACCTTCTTCTCCAAAATTTACATAGTTGATGTTGACGACGCCATAATTTATAAAACAAATGGTATGCCTCAAAACTGCAATAGTCTCATTAATTAAGGATGCATTATTCAAGAGCTAAATCCATATCCACTTCAATACTTTATTTCATTTAACCCGAAATCAAACACGTTAGCTCCTTTAAAGGGGCCATTTTTTTGGACAACGGGGATGACATGGCGTGGTCCTCTGTGTTCTGCACCAATCGATCGAAAGAAAATGGGTGGGGCTGATAGTGTATCCCATATAAACCGTTTTACAGAATGATGTCTTCTCGTATATTTGAAATAAAACATATTCAAACTAAGTTTACTTCAAATCCCTCTTAAAACATTTTAATCTCAAGGAACCACATCAAGACGTACAATCTATTTTCGCCTTTCGGTGTTTTCCTGTCGTTCAATGTCAGAGTGTGTTGTACGTTTAAGACTCTCCTAATTCTCGCTAGCGATAGGTAATTCGATTTCATAACATGTGTGATTTGATTATATATTTGGACAAAACACATATTCAAACCCATTGTATATATCAAAAAATTACGTCAGATCCATCTCAAAACATTTTAATCGCAAGAAATTATCTTATTTTAAGACTCACAAATATATTCCAACCTTTTAACGCTGTTCCTTCTCAAGAGTCCGTCGTACGTTTAATTCTCACAACATTCTCACAACCGCTAGCCATTCGATTAACACCTACCAAGAGCTGGTTGCGTCCAGGAAACAAGCCGGCGGGCTACTAGTTTGTAATACCCTTATATTTATGCCACGTGCGCTCACCATGGCCGAATGATTAGCACGTGTTCGCTTTATCATAAGGCCTGTCACTGAGTCAACTGGCGTGATTTCCATTCCCCGGTTGTATGTGACAAGGAATAGGGTCGCCTACCCGGCCTCGTGGGTTTTCTGTGGGTCCTCCGGTTTGCTCCCACTGCTAAAGACCCCCCTCTCTCTCTCCCTCTTCTCTCTCTCTCCCTCTTCTCTCTCCCTATCTCTCTCTCTCTCACCATCGGCGTTTTCTCGGGAATGGATGTCTCTATACTTTCCATATTTACCAAATTTGCCATACCCTATATACTTTCGCGGAAATGTATCTTTTAGCTACCCTGTCATTATCGTGTAGATCATTACGTCATACATTGATGTAAACTATACCCCGCCATGAAGTCGCTGCTGTGTACAAATGACTGACATTTTTAGAAATACACAGATATTCCATTAATTGCAGGCTTTGAACACACCACACCGTGTCTATCGTTGTGTTTCGGACAAATATACTTTTGGTGGCCTGGTTGTGAATGTAGTTAAACAGTGGATCTATTTCTCAACCCTCCCATGCAGTTATTTAACTCTGTGGCTCAGTGAGTAAGAAAATGAAATGAAATGAAATGGGGTTTAACGTCACACTTTTCTGCGCTGGTTCACTAACCAGGAGATCCGGGATTCGATACCGGCAATTGCTTAGACAGTTCCCCGGGACTTTTCAGTGTGGTTTCCTCTTGTCCATAGTGGATGACGGAGAGCCTGGCAAGGAACAGGAACAACATCTTCGTTCGGATGGGACCATAAATAAACCGCGATCTCGTGTACACGTTGGAAAGTAAAAGCATCCTTGGCAGTTCCAACCCAATTGATAATTTCCCTCACAACATGCCGTCTTAATTTCTCGAGTAGTGCACACAAAAAAATGGCACGTTAAATTCTATTTCATTCATTTGCTGTATATGGCTTGGTCCAAACTGCAATATTAGACGAAAGAAGTCCGTGGCTTAATATTAGACTAAGCCGACATGATATTAGAGTTATCTCCCCCACAATAACAACAACACGTGTGGAAAGTGAAATAGTATGATTATGAAAAAATAAATTAAATAATGTTATCTTAATACTTTGTCAGAGAAATGGGAAAAAATAAATTCAAGAAACGAGAAACAACGACGTTAGGTGAGTTTTCGTCTTTTAAATGATCACCACAAAGAATAGAATAAACAAATATGTTTGAATGACTTGTTCAATGTTTTTCTCTCAGTCTCAGTCTCACTCTCAAATTTTGTTTTGAAGAAAATACTAGGCACTAGGCCTACTCTTTTTCTGTTTTTAACTTTCTCCTATACATCAACCATATCTCAAATAGCCATTATAAAAGCTGGAGTAAGAGAAAGGCACCCCGACTCTTCTTGTTTGGTATACTAGGCAAAATAGAGATACAGAAGTCAAACCTGGGCGACATATGGAGTAAATCTCAAAATATATCTGCGAATGGAGTTAAATATTCATGCCTATAGTAGCATGGGAAAAGTATGGAATGTTGTTCCAGTTTTAGCATTTTAAATAAATTCCCTGTACCAGTTCAGATCTTAGAACCATAGATATTAAACTTCTTTATCTGGATATATTAACTGTTATGATTCTGTTCTATATATTCCCTTATTTCAATTCCAGAAGAAAGAAAGAAATCAAAGGAAAGCAAAACTGTGAAAAATAAAGAAAATGTAGCCATTAAGAAAACAAGTTCAACATATAGTGTAGATCAACTTTTAGATAAGGTAAAATAAACAGTCTTTTTAAAATTTTATATTTTGTTAGTGTTGAGGAAAAGATGCATACTGTCATACTGAATTTTAGTGATTTTTGGTGATGGCTTCCTATCTTTTTTCAATGATCACATTGTAGAATCTTGTGGATCATCTGATCAGCTTAGAATTATATGCATCGTTCAGATTGGGGAAATCAAGAACCCAATAAAGTCTGTGGGATTTTTGTTTCTTGTTGCTAAATTTTATTGTCCTTGTTTACTTTGTAGAATATTATGAATGTCCTACAGCAGTCCTAGTGACAAAGTATCAGCAGGTCTGCTTTAAATTATGGACAGCTGAGACGACTTAGCTACCGTGAGAATATGCTTCATTGCTGGGCAATCTTACTGTTTGTCCTTTATGTTTTTTGCAGGCTGAGGAGTTTTTAGATCAATTTGATTATGATTTAGCACAGAAGTTTTGTCAGAGAGCGTTGGAAGTGGACAATGAAAATGTTCGAGCCATAGAATTAACAGGAACAGTGTTATTAGAGATGGGTGATCCAGAATCAGCTCAACAGGTTTGGTTTGTTTTGTAGTAGAACTGTTAACAATGTTTTCTTTTTTGTTTTGAATTTACAGATAACTCATATATATTTAGTTACAAATATTCAAGACCATTAACTGTTATTACGTAACACAAACTTTGGGAAACTGGCTTTGCTTCGTAGATGAACTTACATGTGAGGCACTGGTTAGCTCAGGTTTCATTGCTGGCAACCTGTGTTAATATCTTGGATAGGAAATCACTATACGTGCACAATGATGATAAGGTGCAAAGGTTTTACCCAAGTATATTATACAGAACGGCTTCACTATTATGTTTATTTTAGCCATTTTAACTCCTGATTTATACTGAAATCAACAGGACTATGGTTAAACCCAGTGTATTTGTTCCTGTCATAATGTAATTGAAGGAAATTTGTTGATTTTTTCTCCAGTGTTTCTTAAGAGCTATAGAAATCAATCCAGATGATGGCCATGCTAAATATATGTATTTAGGTCAGATGTACAGTGGATTAGATGCAGTAAAATGTTTCCAGAAAGGAATAGAATTAATGTTAAAACAAAAGCAAAACGAAGATCAACAACCGGTACGTTTAAGCTTTGAACTTTTATTTTCAATGTCCAATGGGTGCCTGTGTACACTGACTGCCTGTGTACACATTGGCATGCATGTAAAAGAACCTGGCTGGGCAGTTGGTTTCGATTCCCTCCGGTTGTACGTGACAATGAGTAGGGTCACCTGTCCAACCTCGTCGGTTTTCTCCAGGTCCTCTGGTTTCTTCCCACTACGAAAGACCCCAACGTGCAAGGGAATTATTGAAATAAAATTGAACCATATGTTTGTGTCCAGTGGATATTAAACACCATTTCTCTCTCTCTCTCTCTCTCTCTCTCATTCTCTCTCTCTCTCTCTCTGTATTTGTTGAAAAGTGATTATTATTATTATTATTATTATTGCTTTGTTATTTTATAAGGTGACTGGAGCAGAAGGTGGAAAAAAAGAACCAAGTATAACACAAACGGATATATCTAACGCTTATTGTTCTATAGCAGAAATATATATGACAGATTCATGGTATGTTTTATCATTTTAATTAATTCACTGTATCTATGATTATTCAATATACACCTGCCAATTAATTCATCTGTTTTGTAGAAAGTTAGTGCCCGTTCGATTAAACATAATAAAGCCCATGCCATATACATACTCAATTAAACAGGCATTATACAAGAGTGAAACATTTAGATATAAATCATGTAAGACACTTAAAAGAGAGATTGTAAAGGTATGCAATAATAACTAGAAATACCAATATTATTGGAAACAAGAGTAACCTCCCTTTTGTATATGGAGTACACTGTCTTTCATATGCTGCTGCTTTTATTAGATACACATTATTACTACTCAGCAATATAGAAGATCCTTTATAATCCTTCTCCTGTGGAGGCTCTTTAATCACCTTGCTGGTCTCTGAATAATATGTCTCTAAACCAACTCAAGAGAATGTCTATTGTGGAATGTTTAGAATGGCTCCACTGCCAATATACCTCAAATCTTTCACATTTGCTTACAAGATCAACAGTTTATTTATCTTTCACATCCCATATTTTTAAAAACTATCAGTTTTGTGCATATGCACAAATATTATCACATCAGTCACTATTTTGACATCATTCTAACAATGTCAGTGATTGATAATAATCCTTTTCTTGACTTACTGGTAAGCATTTACCATTTGGAGACTGAAAAGAGGGCACAAGCTGATAATCAAATTCTAACTGGGTTTTTGATCCATGTATTTACACTTCCACTTATACCATCTTGATCTGTTCTTTAAAGTTTTGAAGCAGTAGCAGAAGAAAAATGTAAAGAAAACATTGATAGTGCCATCTTAGCTGATCCAAATAATCCTGAAGCTTATCAACAGAAGGCCAGTTTTCTCTTGTCTTTGGATAAAAAACAGGTAAAACAAATATATATACATTTAAACTTAATATGGATTAACAATTACTAGTGTAGATGTAGTGTTTAGATGATGGTACTCTCCTTGTTGCAATGTTGAATGTTTATAAAGCAGTAATTGTTATTCCAGAGTGATTTTAGTCTATTACTCTGCATTGCGTCTGCAATTACTAACTGCTACTTAAAGAAGTAAATGTTTCTAGTAGTTTATTACTGGTACTGATTTATCAGAAGAGATTACATGTGGTTTGGAAAATGATGTTCTGATGTGGATTCCGGGCTGTAATTGGAAGAATTGTGCCAGCCAATTGAAATTGTTTAGCCGTTATATAGCTTTCATTTGCATACCAGATAAAAGTTCTGTTGTATCATCCTATTTCTGATATCTAGAATTACCAGTAAAGACTGCTATTTTTAGAAGTGAAAACTCTGTTTAAAATCTTACCGAAGGCGGAGAAAGGCACCCATTTCCCAGGGAAATTGTGATTAAATAACTAAGTTGCTGTCCCAATTGAATTAAACGAAACAATTATGTCAAGGACTTTATAAACTACTGTGCTGGTATTAACACATGCCTGTTGTTAGTAGATAAATATTTTTGATCTCAACAGTGTTTTTGCCTTTGATTATAGTTATAAGTCCCGCATTTTATTGAATATGCACACATAATGTTTACTCACTTGAAAATATTCAATACTTGATTGTTACTTTCGTGCATTGCTGTTTCATATAAATCTTGTCTGTATGATGTTAAAGTTCTCAAGTGTATTTATTTGAATGACAATTTTACCAAGATTTAGGATTACACGATCACTCATTTGACCTAATATGGTATGTATCCCGACATTGTAATATTATGTATCATATATTGACAGGATGCTAGAATAGAAATAAACAAAAGTGTATCATTATGGTTACCTAAAGCTAAATGTAAAGAGGAAGATTTACCTGAAGAAGATTTTGATCCTGTACAGGTAAATAATACAAAACATTACCATTTACGCAGCCGCTGTGGCTTATTGAGTAAGGTGCTGGTTCACTAACCTGGAGGTCTTCGGTTCAATCCTGGTATTGGCCAAGAAAATTCCTGTGGATTGTCTGCTGTGGTTTCCCCTTGTTAGTAGTGCAGGACGAAGGGTTCTAGTCATTCGGATGGGAAGAAAAACGGTTCAATCCCGGTATTGGCCAACAAAGTTCTTGTGGATTTTCTGCTGTGGTTTCCCCTTGTTAGTAGTGCAGGATGGAGGGTGTCTAGTCATTCGGATGGGAAGAAAAACACAGGTCCTGTGTAAAGATTTGTGGGCATGTAAAAGAACCCTTGACAGTTGGAATTCAAAATAACAGTAGCAGTAGAGCAGCTGTGCAGTTGGATGTTAAATGTTTGCATTAGCTAAGTAGGATATTAAACCCGATTTTATTTTATTATTGATTAGTTAAATATTACAGTCAGAAAATACCCAGGTATTGAATGAGTATGTATCACTTTTCGTCATATACTTATATAATATATTAATATTTATATTTAAATATTTCCAGTCTGTGCCAATATCATATGAAACTAGAATAGCAACATGTAGAATATTACTAGAAGTAGAAGAATATCAGGTAAGAATTTCTAATTGTTTTCATCAACCTTTTGTTATGCTTATGTTTTGTGTACCTGTTATTTAGAAATAAAGTAAAAGTGTATGTACTTAGTCAAGTCAGATACCTTGCTAAATGTAGGTCACTGGTTTTGTATCACCTAGAGTTGTCTGAGAAAACTACATGTCACACATATGAGGCCATTACACTGTAACTGTAATGATTAAATTACAGTTACCACTACTTTCAGAAAGATGGCTGCAACTACTTTAAGATTCCCTACAGTAATCATTAAATTACAATTACTTTGGGAAAGCAGTATCTATAGGTGGTTTGAAAAAAGCAACCCCTCTCTATAGGTTGTCTGAAAAGAGTAAGCCTCTCTATATAGATGGTTTGAAAAGAGTAAGCCTCTCTACATAGATGGTTTGAAAAGAGTAAGCCTCTCTACATAGATGGTTTGAAAAGAGTAAGCCTCTCTATATAGATGGTTTGAAAAGAGTACGCCTCCCTCGATAGATGGTTTCAAAAGAATAAACCTCTCTACATAGGTATTTTGAAAAGAGTACGCCTCCCTCTATAGGTGGTTTGAAAAGAATACGCCTCCCTCTATAGGTGGTTTGAAAAGAGTACGCTTCCAGTACACTGGATCCGAAAAGTATGTAATCAGTCAAACAGTGTATGAACTATACACACTACACACTATAATATTCAATATATATTTATTTTATTAGACATCTATAGATGTAGCTGAAGGTTTATTGGATGAGAACGATGAAGATCCTCAAGTCTGGTATTTGATTGGTTGGGCTAACTATCTACATGGGGATGATTATAAAGGAAATGCCAGATATTATCTTCAGAAAGCAAAGAAGGTTTAAACTTTTATTACTTTGCATTTAACAAGCAAAAACATGTTTTGAAAATCTGTTTATTAATTTTATTCACTATGCATTTAAAGCTTCAAAGTAGTGGATAACTTATTGTGTCACATTAATCTCTGCACATAATCCTATAATCTTTAAAAACAACTGTTCTTTATGTCTCTGTTACTCTGAGAAAAATTATAATCGTTGTTCTAGTAAAGACAAAATGAACAATTTGTGGAATATTCTTGTAAATGTTCTTGAAGAAAAATGTTCAAATTAACTTGGTGAGAACAACTCCTATCAATATTAGTTGTGTTTCAATTTTTAATGGTATAGCCAATTGCCTTGAGAACCCTCTTGAGGTCTCTTTTCTTCATTTGCAGAATTTGCTGTGATTATATATAATTACCAGAGGGGTAGAATATATTTTACAGTGTACCTTGGACTTAAATATTTTTTTCTAATAAAGATTTTTTTTTTTTAATTGAATATTTTTATTTCTAGGTTTATGCAAAGACGAAATATCAAGATGAGGAATTATTAAAACATATAGAAGAATTATTAAATGAAATACCTACAGGTAAGGTCTATACATGTATAAATAGTGTTTCAACACTACTCATTGTTATCAATAAATATACTTTCATTCTGTAAATGAAATGGGGTATAATATCCCACAGTATGCTTTAAGAGAAATTTTGTCTGGACAGCTTTACCACGGCCTACTTTTAAATGAATTCCAACTGTTAATTTTTTTTTTACGTGCATGCAAACGTGTGAATGGGACGTTGGTTTTTCATGTCATCTAAATGACTAGACAGGGTTTCTTGCCAGACTTTCCATCCTGTACCTCTGACAAAGGGAAATCACCTGTCATTTTGGCTAAAAAGTCCATTGAAATACAAGTGTTTAATAATATGGGTTTCTCAGGCCATGACCCCAGCGGTAGAGACATGATATGGTACTCTAAAACGAATTGATTTGACCACTTCATGATGTATCACAGTGATATAAAATAGAGAGCAGTTACCCTACTTAGTAACAGAACACAATTTTTTGAGAAACAATTACTGGTTTAAATGAATAATCAGGACAAGCGATTGTTTCCCCATAAAAATTGTGTTCTTTTAATGTGTTTGCCAATTGCTAAATGCCACTTAAAAATTATATTTAGTGTTATAGAAAGAGAAAGCATACTCTGCCTCATGCATGACAATAGAAATGTACATGTGTAGCTCAAGATGATTTATAATAATTCCACTATCATTATCCTTTACAGCTGAAAATGATGATCAAGATGTAGAAGAAGATGATGGGGTTCTGATTCATGATGATGATTTAGATGACGTTCAAAGTTCAGATGATGAAGATGTGGAAGAAAGTATGGAACATTGATGTTAAATTTAAAATGTACAAAAATTGTAAAAATAAAAAAATATATAAAGGTGAATCCATAGTTGTTCTTTTTTAAAGGAAAAATTTGATAAAACTCTTGGTCTCAATGATTAAGGAGGGCTATAAAATATTCCACATTAATTGAAAGATATGGGATCACAGTGGGTAAGATGCTGGCTCGCTAGCCTGGAGGTCGAGTGTTTGATCCCTGCATTAGCCGAAAAAGTTCATACAGATTTTCCGGAGTGGTTCTCCCTTGTCAGTGATGCAGGACAGAGGGCCTGACAAGGACAGCTGTGCTAGTCATTCGGATGGGACGGAAAACCGAGGTCCCGTGTACACATTGGCGTGCACGTAAAAGATCCCTTGACAGTTGGAATTTGATATAAGAGTAAGTCGTAGTGCTGCTGTCCGGGCAAAATTTCCCTCATGGCACACTGTATGGTGTACGCCCGTCTTCATTAGCCCAGTCTGGAGTAGGACGTTAAACCCCATTTCATTTCATTTCATTTAATTGAAGTATAGGAACCAAATGATCCTTTTTACCCAGCAGATCGCTAAATACTACACTAAAATATGTTATATTTATACCTAAATATCTCAAAAAACATCTGTAGCTCATCCCACCTTGTGGCACTTTATGTCTCTGATAAATTGTTGTCATATGATTTTCCAAGGCTACCTGTATTTCACACAGAAATCGTTACCATTGACGTTAAAATGATCATATTAGTCTCAAATGGCAATTTCATTTACAAGAAAATCATTGTTAACATATGTAATTCAGAAAGGTGCTGATGAATCTGTCTAAAATATTTTATTCTCCTCCATAAAATCAACTGTATAGATCTAGACTACCTGATTTATTTACAATAACCTTAATACTTATAACTGTAAATATATTAAACATATAATATATACAATATATCATTATAAAGTATTAAACAACCAGCATACGGTATATACATGTATACCGGTATAGAATTTAATCCTCCAATATTCCTTTCACTTACAAATAAAATATTTTAATCTTGATTTACCTAACTACTAAAATTCTTTCTTGTGATGAGTACATGTATATCAATGAACTATTTTGATAAAAGAATTTTTCATATATAGGAAATAGATCAACAAAAAGATCTCTCATTTTAAATAATTAGGTGTGTTTAGGTTTTTTTAAAATATATTACATGAAACAAAATGCATTTTCTTGATAAAGAGTTCTAATGCCTTTTGAATGTTAACTGATAACTACTTTTATATTTTTATACAGCTGGTTTTAACTCAGTAATATAAGTATAGAAACAGATAGTCAATTATACAACAGTGGACAGAGTCAGAACTTCCAGCAATCAAACTTATATGAGTGTAACTAAGAGAACAGCATTTTATCAGACATACTATTCTCCAAATACAGAATGACTAAGACAGTCATTCCAGCAAAAATTACATCATATTAAAATATGTTGCATCAAGCTAATATGATAGATTATACTTGTAAAAGCAATTAGACATTTCCAATAATATGTAATCATCATACAGACAGTATTGCACTAGAAAATATAAACAAAATATGTCATGGAATAATAACAAAATGAATAGATAGTTTATTATAGTTGATTTTATATCATATTATTATAGTTGATTCGTAATATATTGTGACCAGATGAATTTTGAATGACATATTTAGTCAGAATAAATATTCAACAATTAAAACTAATATTCAATCAAAAATCCGCTCTCATATTAACTGAGCACTTCAATTCAAGAAAAATGTACTTCTAACATTTAAATGCCAGTAATATGGACATAAAAATACCTATAATTCTGTTCTAATAGAAATTAAAATTCAATCAAAAATTCTCTTTTGAATAGGTTTTGACATAATATGTAGTCTTAATTAATGTCAGAGTTTCCCATACTACAACCTTTTTTTTTTTTTTTTTTACAAAATGACTTGTATATGTTTATTTAGTCATTCAAAGCAAAATTTTCTCTGATAATTCACAAATGGTGAGTGTGATGTTTATAAACATTGATAATAATAAACTGGAGATGGTAAGTTTTTAGGAATTATAATAAATTAGAACATAAACTGGTCCCAACAACACAACTTTTTGCAAGATGCCATTTTAAATTTTAATGTGCTCTACATACATGTACCAAGAACCCTTTAAACCTAGGATAGGAATAAAATCTACACAAATTGAACTTGTATACTTTGTATAATACACAATACAGTCTGACTGCCCAACAATAACACACAAAACAGAACAAATAAAACAAGAGTAGGATATAGTCTTACTTTAACTCAAGTCAAATATTAAACTGTCAAGCACAATTTGGCTGTTGAATATCAATTTGTGCTATTTTTCTACTCTACTGGTTGTCTTACAGTTATATAATGTTTTTAGCATCAAATATATTTTTATCTCGGTAACTTTAATTAATTTCCAATCAATGATTGTGCATTTAGTCTCTTGAATGTAAAAGATATATATCGTTCATTGTAAAATATTAACAGTAACAAGCAACTACGCAGGGTTACAACTGAGAACTTCAAAATCACAAAAGTAAGACTGTTGATTAAAGGACTGAAAATCGAGCATTTATTATTGTGGCAATGGTATATTATAGAGGCTTTTCTTGTCAAAACTTGAAATTTTCAATATATCTATTTTTGAATTATTATACAAGAATGGTCAGCTCTTTATTTATGTCTTACATAATGCATCCTTAATATTTAACATTATATAAAGCATTAAGTATAGAATCAATCAATACATTCAATAATTGTAATAAAAAGAAAAATTGGAACGTATATATTATGTATGTCTTGATTCACAAAGTATCTGAATTTGACTAGATCATTGACCTATTTAGTTGTCAGCCCACACACATATCTGCATTTAAAATTACACACCTACAGATTCTGCCATTTATGAATGACCCCAAAAAGCTTGGTTCCTCCACAACCTAAGTTTAACAAAAATGATTTTCACAAACTTTGGAGGAGCAAACACTGAATTTCAACATAATGGTCAACTTTGCCCAACCAGAGTAAACCCAAATATAATGCAAAGTATTCAAATCATATAATACAAAATTTACAACCATGTTTCATTTGTACTTGTACAACCATGTCCCATTTGTCAAGACTAATCTCCATAAAAATGTTTTTTTTAAAAAGAGGAATGTGTAAATGGGATTAGTTGCATTTTGAAACAGAGCTTGTCATTAAATATGAATCACATTAAAATTAAAATCAATTATTAATATCACACTCTATTTTCACTGGCATGAACTAGTTCTTCTACTTTATCAATGACGGCATCAATAAATGGTCTCTCCATGGGATTCACAGACATCAACCAGGTAACTGTTTCTTCTATCTTATTACTGAATCTGTTAAAACAATAAATATAAAGAACTGACAGATTCCAAGTCATATACCACACACTAATATGAGACAATTCACAAGTTATTTATAAGCACTCAATGATCCCATACAGGTTATGAAATAATACATTATTTTCTTATGGAAGTACTATTTATCCACATGAGAATCCCAGAATCAACTCTCTAGAGCATTGGATAACTGGAATATTAAATGAATTAGAATATCTGGACCATGTAATAATGTAATGTTAGAATGGATAATCAAGAATTCATTATTATTGTAGTAATGGTACTTGACAACCAAGACTATAAAATAATTTGATTAAAATTTTCAACATATTCATGTTTCATTATATATTTTTAACTTAAGAACGACCAGCTCTTAATCTAAGTCTTACATATTGCATCTTTAACTGAAACAAAATATACATGCAAACAAATCCAACATTTGCCAACATTAAGTTTGACTTAAATGGATATATTTTAGAATCATGTAGGTATTACATACATGTAATAAACAGAAACTTACCCTGAATTTTCTTTAAATTTTAAATTTCTACCGAGAACAGCTAAAGCTATACTATCACCCCTCTGATAGACTTTCTCAAACGGTGATTCTAGAAATGCCATGGCATATAATACACATCCTAATGACTGCAAAAAAAGAGACATATTATTAAGATAATTCTTATTAAGGCACATAATATAACCAATCTTGTGTACAACAAAATTGAAATTAGTTAAAAAGGCTGCTTCTGTTTAATTTTCTAAAACAAAAATGTACTCAAGATCATGTGCCATCACTGATCCAAATAACTAATTCAGTACTTTTAACAAGCAAGAATAATTTATTACACAAAAATGGAAATCTCAAACATACCCAGATGTCTGTTCTCTCATCTACAGTAGAGTTAGTTTCAACATTAAATAATTCAGGAGCTCTATATAACATAGAACAACGTTCAGCTGCTATATCCTATAAACATAATAACACAAAAATTGTAGATCATGAAGGGCATTTTATAAAAAAAATATTGGTGTGCTTTAACATAACCCTCTCATCAGAATGATTTGTGAGTACCAATATTAGGCAGTACGGATACAGACCACCAATTTTTTTTCCCTGTAGCTTTCAATGATGCATGTATGATTTATCTCATAATTTACATCTGGAAATTGTGAACAGTTCAATAATCCTGTTTAACCCAATAAACATCGCAGTAAATATCATTACTTTGGTGCTAATGATACAAGCTTGCCTGTGGGGCTGTGAGGCTAAAATGCAATTGCCTAAAGGATAATTAGTCGTTCAAAATGCCTACCTGCAAAGCTCTACCTTCAGCTGATGTTTTTATTTCTACTCTGGCTTTAGCTGCTGATCCAAGATCCATTATAATAGGTGTAGAATCATCTGCTATCATTATATTAGCTGGTTTTATATCCCTATAAATATAATACATTCCTATCATTTTATGTAGATACCTACTTCCTATCAGATTTTGGATTACTGATACCACATAATATAGTAATACAGTTATCCTGAATGTATAAGGATATGCATTGCATGTTAATCCTGTTGGTAAAAGTCTCCGATTAATAAATCAAATAAACAACATATACCAGTATTTCCTGAGCAGAACAAAATACAATGGAATTTGCTGCATTTTTACCTGTGAGCATATGGTGGATTATAATGATGCATGGCTTTTAATCCATTACAAATTCCCAAGAACATGGTCCATAGTTCGGGTTCTGCCATTTTCTCCCCTTTTTTCTTTAATCTCTCCATCATATCTTCTACTGAACCTCTCTTAAACCAGAATAAATAAATCATAAGTGAAAATAAACGAAGGACATTGAATGCATAAATGAAAAAAACTATTTGGATTGATTTCTTTATGAATTTCTTATTTACATTAATTTCTTGATGGATCTAGACTCACCCTGTAGAAAGGCATGACTATCAAAACTTCACTAACAACATCAACAGCCTTGGTATAATGATTTATGGGATTTAATGTTGATTCTTCAAGGGGGATAATGTTGATATGATGGAATGTCTTCATTATTTCTACTTCCTGCATGGCAACTTTTTCATCTTCTTTGGAATGACAAGTAATTCTCTTCAGTGCCAACAGTTTATGAGTTTGTGCATCTTCTACAAGATCAATGTAGCTAAAACCACTGAAATATTAACCCCATACATTCACATGAAACTATTTGATTGCATTAGGGAGTAATAACTATTTCATAATTAGAAGCAAAATCCACCATATTTTTTATAAATATTTTCGAAATTATGTTTAAATTTTAAGCTTTGTTTAACAATAAGTCTTTATTAATAAAACACCAGCAGTTGCCATGCAAGATATATGCCCACATTTTGCAAGAGATGGATAGAGAACAATCTAAAAAAAAATGGTGATTTTTCATACAATCAGTGGCCACAATGCAGTAAGTTATGGTCTGAAATGAGTGAATATCGAAAGAAACTGAAATCTTTGAATATAAACATATATTTTAAGTTTCACCAAAATCGGACAAAAACTGTGACCTCTAGAGGATCAAAAAGCTTTGTTTTACATACTTTTACACTATTTGTGTACAAGGAGCAGCTATTTTGTCAGGCAGTTTCGTTTCAATTTTTCCAAAATTTGAACTCAATCTTCATTATAGTATGACAGTGATATATTTAAATGGTTTATAATCGGATAAAAATGTGATTTTAAATGGTTTATAATCGGCTAAAAATGTTATTTTTCGTACAATGATGGGCCATAACCCAGGAAGTTAAGGTCCGATACATGCCAATATCTAAAGTTTCTTCAAAATCGGATAAAAATTATGAGGGCGGACAGGGGCAAAGCCAAAATACGTCCACGTGAAAAGGTGGCCATTTAACAATCGTTTATTTTCATAAAAGGCGTAATACAAGGGCAATATGTGTCCAGTACACTAGCAAATGAAATGGGAGTTACGACAATAACCTACATATTTTAAAATTTAAAGTCTAAAAACATTTGGTTTAGCAATGGTAGTAAGCTTGCATTGTTAGAAAGTAGAAACTATAAGCATGATATAACATATTTATGTATTTACCCTTCTCCAATTCTTGATCTAGTGTAAAAACGACGATTGTTGATATTTACAGACTCTTTACCACAGACACAGCCCATTTTTAATATTAAACTGATACCATAAGTATTCATCAGATGCTGACAGTATCTTTCATCAAACTTGTTTAGCAGGCTAATTGCAAAGGCCAACAAATATGCTAAGTCATAACCATAAAATCTAAAAAGATAATAATAACTTCTAGTACTCACAGATACATGCTATGTACATTCAAGTATTTGAATCTAAACAGTTTTGCAAGGCTATTTGAACAATTTTTAGTGCCAATTTTCAATTAAACCTAACAAAACTTTATCTGTTTTGGATCTCCTTTGAGATACTGCTACTTGCTTAAACCAATCAAATCAAATAGTAAATTAGTAATGATTTGAAATATTTAAATCTATAGCTTGAAGAAATCTGAAAATTTCCCCAAAGTCTTAACAGTTATCATTGCATCTTCAAATAGCATTCAAATAATGAATTACAATATATGAATAATAAGCATTCAATGTGACCATAATAACACTGTAAGCCATAAAATCTCTTGATGTTTCAATCATCTAACAATACAGTGTTGATTAAATCATAAAAGTAAATGCATGTGAATCTTGCACATTCATTCAAAATGACAAAACCTGGCTTTATCATTCTGATTCTGTGGTATAGTGAATCATCAAAAAAGCTATTTTACAGTCATTGACTGAGTGAGCTAGGTCTGCAAAAAGTACATGCTCCAGATCAGACATTTTAGATTAAATATGTGTTTAGTCATGGGGGCAATCTGTTTAAAATACAGATCTATATTATGTTATTTTTTTTTCATACTTTCAATGGCCTCTACTACATGAAGATCTGTGCATGGAAGGTCATGTCTGAGGTGATACAAGTGGCTTTTGACCCTATGACATCAGACACTTGATTAACCAATCAGCGTTGATGTTTCGTGCACCTCACACCAAAAGGTTGTCGTAACAGACCGTTTCATTGGCTAATTCCTCACATCATCCTGAACTCTTCCAGATCATAGTGTAGTAAAGACAAGTAAAACGAAATTTTGAATATAAAAGATGAAACGAAATAGGATCTGTGTTTTAATCAGATTGGTCATGGGGCCAGATGTCATTAGACGAAATGGCTAAAAGGTTTGTCTTTTAGATTTTTGTTTTTAACTACAATACAATAACAAATAAATCTCTCAAAAAAAACTTTAAAACTACAGTGTCTATTAATAATATAAATATCCAACAACTATAATAATTCAAATAAGCTGACAGTGCAACAAAAATTTAATGTGAAATGAAGGTACTAAGAAGAACGACATACAGCATTCAAATTAATGCAATTCTTCATCCTTCTGAGTGTAACCAGTTGCCCAGATAATTATGTCAGTGTGGAGAATGATCACTAGTCCGCGGTTGTACTAGTCCGCCAATATCTATTATTGCGATTTTTACGATTGATGATCACATGTAAATGCACACCCATAACAAACTCTGACAATAATACTAATGCACCCACCCTGACAATGAAATGTAACGCACCCACATTGACAATGAAATGTAAAGCACCAACCCCGACCGAGAATGAAATGTAATACACCAACCCCGACAATGCAATGTAATGCACCAATCCTGACAATGATATGTACGCAATGCACCCATACTGACAAAGGTATGTAACCATTTCTCCAAGAATTGATTGAATTCAATATAAGAATAGGCCGGTAATGCCGCTATCAGGCCAAAGTTTCCCTCATATTACACTGTATGGTGTATGCCCGTCTTCATTAGCCCAATCGTAGCAGAACAGTAGGACATTAAACCCCATTTCATTTCATTTAATTGTCCTATAACAGAAATTTTCTAGGTGCAGTGGCATTTCTCCATCGATTTCCAACTGTGACAGGTTCTTTTATGTGCATGCCAATGTGTACACAGAGGCTTGTTTTTGTCCCATCTACACAACTAGACACTGTTCTTTGCCACGAAAGGGAGAAACCACGATGCAAAATCTAGAGGAACTTACTTGACCAACACAAGGATCAGTGTACATAATCAAACTGTATATTACGCGGAAGATGGCCAACAACCCGACATTTTATACGCTACATTACGAAATTTTTAATGTTGTATTGTCAGGTTTTAGAATGCTGTGATGTCGTGTTGTCATAGTGTCAGATTAAAATGTTGTGATGTCGCCTTATGAAGTGGACTTTTATAGCGGTGGACTAGTGCACTAGTGAACCCCTCTCGTCAGTTTCATGCTATCAATAATATTGATTAGCCGATTTAAATAATCACCATTGATTAATTTATTATATAACAATTTAAGTTTGAGAATACCACTGATGTGATTTACAAAACTGCACAATATCTATAATCCTAGACCTACATAAGTACGTATTTTTTTTTTTTTCAGAGACTTCAAGTTCACTACAACAAAACACTATAACAAAATAGTACAATTTCAATAATGAATCAAGTCAATCAGATATCGATCATTACAAAGTCTTTTGGGCCTGGGTTCCATGCCACTGTCGCTTTTAAATCCTTTCACTGGTTTATCGTGTAAATGACAACGTTTCAATGGGCCTAGATACTTTAGTAACGAAATATGATAGTCCTAGTACCTGGAGTCCAGGTATTAGGACTCTCATATTTCGTTACTAGAGTAACTACAATGGGCCTATTCAAGTAAAATGTTTTGGCCGCGTTGGGATTGAGCAGACGATTATTATTACCGAATACCGGGTATTTATTTCCTATTCATTGAATACAAGCCATAAAAGATAGACAATGATTATTTACTAAATCAAACGTTTCTGTTTGAATTCAAAAATCAGTTATAATATCTATAATCCTAGACCTACATAAGTACGTATTTTTTTTTTTTTCAGAGACTTCAAGTTCACTACAACAAAACACTATAACAAAATAGTACAATTTCAATAATGAATCGAGTCAATCAGATATCGATCATTACAAAGTCTTTTGGGCCTGGGTTCCATGCCACTGTCGCTTTTAAATCCTTTCACTGTTTATCGTGTAAATGACAACGTTTCAATGGGCCTAGATACTTTAGTAACGAAATATGATAGTCCTAGTACCTGGAGTCCAGGTATTAGGACTCTCATATTTCGTTACTAGAGTAACTACAATGGGCCTATTCAAGTAAAATGTTTTGGCCGCGTTGGGATTGAGCAGACGATTATTATTACCGAATACCGGGTATTTATTTCCTATTCATTGAATACAAGCCATAAAAGATAGACAATGATTATTTACTAAATCAAACGTTTCTGTTTGAATTCAAAAATCAGTTATATCAAGAATGTTTGAACATTTATCCTATAAATTTGTGGAAAAGGTGTTAGATTCATACGTTTTGTTAATTTCCTTTAAACACTGACAACAAAACCTGCCATATTGGAAATTATAAATTGTAAATCGAGAGAATCGATAGCAGTTGGTGAAACGAAGTACACAATTAATCAATTATCACCAATGATAAAATAGAATATTCAAGGCATAATTCATAATTGATTAATATAAATGCAAACCTTTTGAATTATTCTTAAAATGGCAACCATACTAATATATAGGCTTTAGAATGTTTTCAATAAGTCCATATAATAATCCGTATTTCACAGTTTTTACACAACTTTCAATCTCGAGATTTCTCGTATTACGAGATTACGAAAATGGCTGATCCGAAATATGCTAATTTGCCTGGAATTGTGAGAATATTTACTTTTTATATCAATTACATCTTTTATTTTTTAACATCATATTCATCTAGACTGCCAATATTATTCACGTATTTACCCTGAAATTTTTTATGGCACACCTAAAAGTGGAAGATACCCATCGACATCCATTACCCGAGTGACCGGCCAGGGCAGTAATGTCATGACTCAGAATTACAATATTATGTCAACCGACTGTCGTTCGCATCGTCTGTTTGCTCTTGCACTGTACACATGCAGTTAGTTCAGTTCAGTTTAATTCAGTTTAACATACTACAATGTGAGATTTGAATTCTATGATGTCCATGCAAACGTGCGTTTCTCAAAATATATTTTTGTTATTAAAGGAGCTAAAAAATACTACTGTCTGAGTCTTGGTAAATTTTAAACGGATTTCTTCGATTATGAACAAACTACTTAACTTTGGTTATTATAAACTTACCTGTGTGTTTGTAATGAACTCTCGTTCGATAAAATCCATTGCACAACTAATTATCACAACGATGGAAACAAGTTCTCTCTTGAAAAATTGAAATATTACAAACTTGTCCCAGAGAAAAATACCAATATGGAAGATGGTTACGTCACTCTGCAGAAGATATCATTTCGTATTAGGGGTGACAGAAATTCAAGTACAATTACAAAAAGAATCCATGACCACTCGGACCAAAGACCACTCGGTTCAAGACCAGTTGGACCAACTGATAGACCACTCAGCCCAAACAAATAGACTACTCGGACCATACAAGAAGACTATTCGGACCCAACAGAAAGACGACTCGGACCAATAATAAAGTGTTGTTTTAATAAATTGATAATTGTGTTTGTTTTAATATGATTACTCGAACCAATAATAAAGTGTTATTTTAATAAATTGATAATTGTGTTTATTTTAATATGACTACTCGAACCAATAATAAAGTGTTATTTGAATAAATTGCTAATTGTGTGTGTTTTAATATGACTACTCGAACTAATAATAACGTGTTGTTTGAATAAATTGATAATTGTATTCCAAATTGCAAAATATCGAGAACCACACTTGTAGTCACGTTTAAAAGGGGGCATATAAACGTCCGGTCTTCGTATTATTATGTGCTGTTTATATTAACGCATCAAGGGCGGATAACTTGAAAACGTGTCTCCCCCCCCCCCCCCATATATAGTAACCCAGGGGTTAGTGGGGTAGAACGGAATGAAACCACTGGGGATACCGCGAATGTGGAAAAAGTAAAATTAGGCTATCAGACAAGAACAGTATACCCGTATATGTAGAAACTGTCAAAAGTCTGTACATTCCGAGTTTCATTGCAAGAGTAAAGAAAAATTAGATTGATATTTTTTTTTGGCACCATTATTAATTAATTTTAAAACTAATCGTTGATTTATTTTCCGTACACAAAATTGAACCAAACAACTCTAAATATAAGAATTCCGTATAAGAATTATTTGCTTCTTTGTATTGTGATTTAATAATAAATAAATAGCATATTGTCTAGCCTTATAATATAATTTAATTGGTCCGACTGGTCTTAGTCCGAGTAGTCTTTGGTCCGAGAGGTCTGGATACCTACGACAATTGGCATTGAGTTTGAGCGTTCGCACACATAACTACCCGCATTCCTGTATTTAGTTACCGTCTTTTACATTCTAGTAAAATCTCTGCAAATTTTATAGCTTTACTTTTTAAAATATTTTGTTCTAATTATTTGATTAGCGACTCGGACGGGATTATTTACTTTTGAACACGCATGCCGCACAAACACAACTATACATTTGTTTTACGGGCTTTATCACACTTCGGTCAAAACTGTTGAATCGAGAATTAATGTTCTGCTTCTTACGGGGTCATACAGGCTTAGTAGCATTATATACCCACCCGGGCACCCAATAGACACGCTGAGGGCTGACGCAACACGCTTAAAGATGTTACTGAAGCGGTTATTATTCGATCGAAAGAATGCGTATAAAATTAAAAATACACTCAGAGAATTCGGAGGTAAGCTTCATGATCCTTGTTAAATTATTTATAACATAAAGAAGATAGGATATTTATAGTTTATACATGACTTTATTTTTACGAGTATCCGTGCAATCAGTGATATTTTAATTGTGAAGAAAATTTGATAGACTGGCGATCAATGGTTTCCATATAAATCTCCTATGTAATTGCCTTCAATTGATATTTTTCGTCGCCCAAACCCATATATACGATCAAAATGATCGCGCTGTCAAACTATCTTTCAATGTTAACCAACCCCCGCAACAGGTATATTGGATTCGACCAATACGTCACGAAGACATTGTTGACATCGACTCTGTCGAAATTACAAGTAAATTTTCAAATTTTTCAAGAGAGAACTTGTTCTCATCGTTGTGATAATTAGTTGTGCAATGGATTTTATCGAACGGGAGTTCATTACAAACACACAGGTAAGTTTATAATAACCAACGTTAAGTAGTTTGTTCATAATCGAAGAAATCCGTTTCAAATTTACAATGGTTCACACAGTAGTAGTAGTAAAATCTAAATCACTAATATTTGGGACCAAGAAATTGACACAAATGGGTCGCAACGCCAACGCATATAATAGTATAATATGAATGTACAAAAACTGATTTACATTCAATCGTCTCTGTTTTTACTGTAATGTCTAATCAGTTATGTTCGGCGAAATACGTTAGAAGTCTCAATCGAATGGCAATCTGTAGTGTCTGGTTATTCAATTTTTCTCTATTGAATAACTAGCTACTTTACTTTATAGACCTTGTTGAAAACATCATAAAGCATGTTATTAAAAGATTGATACATTGGCCTATGCCGTTAGATAAGTTCAGTTGGCTCTATCTAATCTTTTTGATCCCCACTCAGTCCCTGATTGAGGGAAAGAAAATATATCTATTTGGAGGGGCCATGTAACTATAAAGACAGTTATAATTATTTTGTTGAAGGGGATGCGTCTACCTGTATGTGTTACACATGCAGATCTAAGTTTATGCTGAGATAATGAATTAAAGTTAAAACTCTATAATTTCAGGATACCAATTCCCCAGATGTTTTTGAAACAAGCGAATTACCCGAAGATGATCAAGTAGCACAGATTGAAGCGGTTAGTTTTCTTTCATCACAAAGACAGATAATTAACTTACAGGAACAGTCTCAGATTTCATATGATATCTATTATTAATGTCAAGATTTGAGTACGCAAACCAGAAACTAGTTATACATGTAATTTTGAAAACCCTGAGGTACCTATATATATGTTATTGTTTTTATAGGAAGAATATTCTAATATAGAAAATTATTGTTATTATAGGAAGAATGTGATAATGACAATATAGAGAAGATTAAATTAGATACTAAAGCTGCTTACAGTGCCTTTAAAGGTAAAGGTGTGAAATCTGATGGAGTTGGTAAGTAATGGAATCCAATTTGAGAGTTGTTTCGATACAGTTTAAGATCACTTATGTATAAATGTATTGAAATATCCGATCCAAGCTTGTGTTTCCATTTACACTACCTACTACCTGTACCAAGAGTTTAACCAAACCATCTTCAGTTGGCCCATTAGCCTAATACGACACTTTTAGCATTACGACGCTGCATGAAGTACCATCATAAAAGCAAAAACCCAAGTTTGGGAACCAATCGTTTTATATGTCTATGAATATTTTTGGCCAGTTGTCACCTTTTTTTGGTGTACGATCACTATTTTATTATGTTTTTAAATATTTTGTAGTTTATGTATTTTGGAGAAATTTAACCCTGTGATCAATTATGAAAAATTTCATTACAGATTTTTCAGATCGTATAGGAAAATCCTCTAAAACTGGCTATGATGTTTCTCAGACAGAATATGAAATTGTAAGTTATTTTACACATTAGGATCATAAAGTAAAAAAAAAAATCATTCTTCAAATTTTTGTTTTATTTAAAAAGGGTTATATAAATGCTTACAGATTAAAACAACAGCCTTGGTACACTTGAAACAGTTTGAAAGAGGTAATCAGAGATCAAAAGTTAGCAATTAAGCAAACAGCATAGGCTTATTTATTTGTACAGAGGGGTCGGTGGCCAATCGGTGATTCAAGGGTCAAAGTTTTATTGTGACAAAGAGTGTGATCACCTGCCTAATCTGGTGTGTTTTCTCGAGTTTTCCAGGTGTCCCCACTTTATTAAAACACAAGCTTATGTTTTGAAATATGGCTTCATAATTCAGAGGCAGCAAAATTAATATTTATTCCAAGTTAGATAAAGATATATTTCTTTGAGATCGACTTATGCCTAATTATCAGGAAAATTCTATTTACTGCTCAGAACAATAAACTTGACAGATATATTGCGAAGGGGGGGGGGGGATCCCTTTCTGTTCCAAATCTAAAAGTATTAATCACATTGTTTAAACTGCTGGTTGCTAGGATGTGATTTTGTTGTTATTTTAGTTATAATGAGCTTACTAATTCAGTCAATGATTTAAGAGTACATTATAGATGACCTATATATTTACAGGTAGGAGAAGGTGGTGTTGCTCGTGAAACACCACAACAGAAATATCAGAGATTACAGCATGAAATGAGAGAATTGGCTGAAGAAGTTTCTCAAATAAAGGTCGGTTTAAGGAATTTGAAAACACCGATTTGATTTTGATTTAAGTCTTGTATTTTAATGTATTTATTAACCGCACCTATCTTTATTTGTTTGATCCCATTTGAAATCAGTTTATCATCAAAAATCTGCTGAACAGTTATGTTACGTTGTGAAGAAATTAAAATGTCCCCAAGGAGTAGGGTCTCCTGTCCAACCCCTTGGGTTTTCTGCGGGTTCTCTGGTTTCCGCTCACTGCTAAAGACGCCTACGCGCAAATGAATTACTGAAATAAATATTGAACCATATGTTAGTCCCTAAATCACCTAGTTTGTGTTAAGTGGACGTTAAACCCCATTTCTTTCTCCCTCTGTATTGTTAGTGAGTCAGCATCATACTTGCTTCTGAAAACATTTAAATTGCGAAACCTTTATTATCATGACATATCTCCTGCTGTGATGCCATATATCTTTACTTTTAAATTGTGTAGGAAAGTGTAAAAGATGAGAAGTCTACAGAGAAGCTATCGCCGGTAGCAATGGGTAAACAGTTAGAATATTTACAACATCAGTTAACAGATCTACATCTAGAGAAACTACTAGGACCAGAAGCTTCCATTGATTTATCAGATCCACAAGGAGCACTTAGACAGTATGTGTATTTAGTTATTTTTTTATACTGCCACAGTTAAAGTAGCTAAGTCTTTAACTCGATATCATCCACAGTCTTCAACATTAAAAAAACCCAAGAATTATTGCTCAATTCAAATCAATATTGATGTTGTGATCTTACCGGGAAATTTAAGACAAAATATTTAAGACAAAGTAAACATTTTACCATTGGTACATGAATCAAGTACCAGAATGCATTTCCGAGCCATTTGTAACAAAGGACACAAAAAATGAGGCTAGACATATTCCACAAGTCCAATAAATACTACCTGTGTAGGCTGGAATAAACAGACGCTAGAGATTGCCATTCGATTGAAACTTCTCGCATATTTTGCCAACATAACTGATTTGAAATTAGAGTAAAAATGGAAACGACTGAATGTAATCAGTTTATATACATTCATATTACATTATTATATGTGTTGCGACCCATTTGTGTCAATTTCTAGGTGCCTAATATTAGCAATTTAGCTCCTTTTTATGTGGACATATATTGACAAAATTTCCATGGCAGATAATCTCCCGGCTTAGATTTGATTGGATTAAAAAGAGACCCATCAAAAGAATTTAGCTAAGATTGTATGTAGCGCTGGCATCTTTTGACCATATCCCACTTTTATCGTTTGCAGAGGATGTCAAATTTTGACAAATTTTCAGTCCATTATATCTTAGTAAATACTGAACGGAATCAATCTAATTAAAATACAAATCTATATTTCGTTTCGTTTTTTATACTTTCGAGGCCTACACTACATGTAGATATAACAAATTATAGTGGGAGTTCACGTCAGATGTCCAGTAAGCGACATATGACCCTATAACATCAGTCATTCGAATAACCAATCAGAATCGATGTTGCAAGTGGCTATGCTTTGCTTTGTTTTGATTTCTATCGCTGCTAATGTCTACCCACAGTTCCTCGCAAAAAAGGTCAAGCACTCGATGCGATAGACCATTTAGTTGGCTGACCCCTCATTTCAAGCAGAACACGAGTTAAATAACAACTCTTCCAGATCCTAGTGTAGTAAAGACAAGTAAAACGAAATTTTGAACTATAAAAACGAAACGAAATAGGATCTGTGTTTTGTTCAGATTGAATGAAATTGAACCACTTTTGGAGTGATATTCATTGTAGAGACACCACTTCCACAAGGGATTCACAATTTCTCAAATGCTGATTAGAGACTTTAACAGAACTTCCAAAAAGTGCTTCATCCAGATTTTCCGGCGTGGTCCCCCCTTGTTAGTGATGCAGGATGGAGGTCCTGACAAGAACAGCTGTCTAGTCATTCAGATGGGACGAAAAACCAAGGTCCTGTGTAAAAGATCCCTTGTCAGTTGGAATTCGATATAAGAGTAGGCCATAGTGCTGCTGTCCAGGCAAAATTTCCCTCATAGCACACTGTATGGTGTATGCCCGTCTTCATTAGCCCAGTTCTGGGCAGAACAGTAGGACGTTAAACCCCATTTCATTTCATTTCATTTTCCAAAAAGTGTAGGAACTAGGTTTGAAAGTTATATTTCATGTGAAGTAACAGTTTTATAATATTACTTACAAGGAGGCAACAAATAATTATTTACCTCTTTTCAGACGGTTGATAACTCAGTTAGAATCGTATAAAACAACTACAGGTGCTGCTGGGGATAAAGGTGGAGATAAATCTCCAGCTACTGGTGACCATGTCTCCTACAGTTTATACTATAGACCAGAACAAGCTCAGTTCAGTAAAAATGCAAGGGTAATTATGTATTTTATTTATTGTTTAAAGTTTCAAGGGGCTATCCCAGATATATTTTAGTGAAAAAAAGTGATAATCGCAATTATTGATCACTAAAATTGTTGACCAATGGAATTCCAAACTTCCCCATTCTGCAAGACCCAATATGATTAACTCAAATGATATTCAGATTTTAGACATTTGAATTGCATACTTAAACTAACTTTTATCAATGTATACCCTTTGAAATCTACAAAAGCTTGATTGTTTCTGATTTCCTAAATAATGCTGGTAAATGCTGGCTTGTCTAAAATATATCTACTGTAATGATTCTTATTTCAATTTGTCGACTAATACAAATGAATAACTACAATAATAACAATTTGTATTGGATTAAATGGTTAGATGTTTTTAACTCCTCTATTATATTACAGATGGCTAATTTAGAAGAAAGAATAGAAAGACTACAGGCAGTTATTGGACAAAACCCAGACAAACTAGTAAGATATTATATTTTGCCCTGGTTGTTTTGCGTGACAAGGAGTAGGGTCGTCTGTCCAACCTCGTGGGTTTTCTTTGGGTCCTCCGGTTTTCTCCCTACGCGCAAGCGAATAATAAAATTAAACCATGTTAGTCCCAAAATGACCTAGTTTGTGTCGAGTGGACGTTAAACCCCATTTCTCTCTCTCTTTATTGTATTTTGACTTCGGCAGATATCTAAAAAGTAAAGTGTGGAGTAGTGCCTGTATTTAATAGTAATACAATATCAACAGATTCTACATACCATATCAAATCTAAATCAAAGGTTTCTCTATAAATGAGCCACGATTGCTCCGTCAGTATGGCACTGATCCACTCAGAAGGAGGTCCCAGGTTTGATCTCGTTGGCTGAGAAAATTCCTCCGGATTTCCCAATCTGGTTTTCACAGGCCGGTGGTGCATGGATGGAGAGTCTGACATAGGTAAAAAAAAAAAAGGTCTAGTTGATCAGATGGGAGAAAAATTCAAGATCTGTTCATGTACTGGTTAGCATACACAGTAAAAGAACCTCCTTGAAGTTTAATATAGAGTAGACAGAAATGCTACTGTATGCAAATTTATCTTTTGATTTATTTAAATGAGCCATTTATAGCTTATTAAGGGGATGCTCGATTGCGAGACTGGAACTTCCAAATAGACAGAATTGCAATGTGCAATGTAGTGACACCGAATTGAGCTGAGAATGAGAAATAAACCCAAAGTTTCTGCTGTGGTCAAATTATTTCCTTTCTTGATTGGTGCATGATTTCTAGATAATGTCATGTTAACTGATTGTCACGGTTCGCAGTATTGAGACAACTAAATATGATATTGTTCAATTGAGTACCACCTAAGTATTTTATTTACATGTAACTATTGTTTTACAGGGGGTGTTGACAGGTGATACGGAAAACAAAAGTTTGCTGGTAAGATTTATCTCCCTTCTGCCTGTCAATTTATTTGAGAAATTTAGTTTGACTTTTATTTAGATAGTTCCTAAACCAAACAAACACGTTCTCTATCTTAATCTTATAAACTATGCTGAACACTGGTACAATTTGGGCGCATGTCTAGTCTTTACAAATTATTTGACAGCCTACTACAGATCTATGCACTAATACTTTTAAAACCTATTATTGCAAATGCATTATATTTAACAAATAGAATTTAGTAAAAGTATGGACAGGTTATATAAACATACATTCAAAATTCAATTTAGATCAATTATATCCTACTCAAGTTTGCTCATGCGCTTTAAAAATCAATAAACCAATACATATTGGTTGTACTGGATGAATGATCTATACAAGCACATGTATATAAAAACACAGCATCTTTATTTATTGGGTTGAAGTGGACGTAAAACTCTAGAAACAAACGAACGAATGAATTTATTGGGTGGGGTTGGGGTTTCTTTTTGGAGGAATGAGAAATATTAATAATACTAGTATATTGTATACTTTTAGGGAGCAGTAGGGGTATTGAACTCTAAATTAAGTTTATTAGAACCAACTAACCTAGAACAAGTGGAGGCCAGATTACAAGGTGTTCTTCATAAACTCGGACAAATTACAGAGAAAAAAACAACACAGGAAGATACAGAGAAACAAAACAAGGTAAAACAAACTATTGAAATCCTCTATTATATTTTTTCTTTTGTTATTTTCTCAAATAAAGTGATCTACAGTGGACTCTGTCATTTCCGACATCTGAATACTGCGGCATACTGTGAAATCTGTCATCATTTTAATGTCCCGATTTATTTCCTTATTACTTCGACCAAAAATGTTTTTTCATAATCTGTAATCTGAATATTCCGAATTACAACATCAGTCAGCTGTCTCGTCAAACGATTTGCATTGAATTAACATTGGATAATCTGGCCTTCAATCATTGGGTGTTAAGCAACAAGCAATCGCCAATCAATTATCAGTGAGCTTAAAACACCTATCGGTCTTTGTTGATTACCTTGATAATTTTATAATCTCTTGTAAGAGAGCGCTTGGTATTTCATTTGAGTTTCTCACATCAAATATAGCAACATTATTATATATAAATTGCAAACACAGAAAAAAAACCCTGGTTAACTGCTAAAAAAAATATGTAACACATGATAACATTGATGAATAATTGAACAGGTATCAGAGTTGTATGATATTGTAAAGAAATGGGAGTCATATGGTAATTCACTACCTCAAGTTATTGACAGACTTGCCGCACTTAAAGATTTACATGAACAAGGTAAAAAAAATATGCTAGATAGAAGGCTTCATGTAGGCTTTTAATATTATTTTAATAACAAAACAAAATCTTCCTGATTGATATTTTCTTTTGAGTGTTTTATGAGACCATGGGTTTTCAAATACTATGCCACAGGTTCGAGTTCAGTGTGAGCTGAGACCACCACTTGTTGGATGGTATGAAAAACTGTGGTCAACACATGTACAAATGCTGCTGTCATGGCTAAATTCTCCTCCATCTCATTGAATCTTAAATATATTAGTAATATCTTATATTCTTCTATCAACTATTTTTGGAATTATTCTCAAATATATCACTAGAATTTAAAAACGATGTGTTTGCATTTGTAGCTCTACAGTTTAGCCAGGCATTAGCTTATTTAGATACAGCCCAACAAGAGATAACCTCTAGTCTTAATTCTCATGGTGATATGCTGAAAACGGTAAGTTTTGTCATACTGGTATACTTTACATCTTATTTATAGTTAAAAAATAAATCCTTTTGATAAAGAACATGATATGTTTCTTGTCAACAAAACTATTTTGTCTTAATTCTAAAGGTGATATGCTGAACATGGTAAGTTGGTCAACTACCGGTATATTCTACATTTTATTTATAGTTAAAATAAATTCTTTAGATAAAGAATAGGATATGTTTCTTGTCAACAAAACTATTTTTTCTTACCTAATTGAATAAGTTTGCTATTGACCCGGTTTTTAGATGGGTTTATGTGAACAATGTAGGTTGGTTATGTTTATTGTAGGTACTATTAACTTGCATCTAGATTTCTGTTGAACAGCTATTTTTGGTGGATTATTTAAAAATGTTATCTGTTTGTTTCGATTTTTAACTATGTTTTGATTTCCATACGTATGTGTATGTTATTATTTCATTGTTATGATTAACTTTGGAAATCTTAAAGTTGTTAATTCGTGATTTTAAAAATAAAGTGCGTCGCTGATAACCAGACTGGGTGTTATAGAAAAGTGACTGAGTATGGCAACATAATATATTAAATTTGAATTATTTATTTTGGAACTATTATAGTAAGAACGGCCAGCTCTTTATCTAAATCTTACACAATGCATCTGTAACTTGACCCAAATGATGTGTGCCAGTCATAGCAACAGCTAAGTGGAATTTTCTGAAATATTGAATATTTTTACTTTTTCATGTTCTGATTACAGCTTCAAGGATCATTTAAACAGAACACAGATATGATCAAATCCAACACAGAGAGCCTTGATGCTAGAATAAAGGGATTGAAGAAATCTTGAAGTGATACATTGGAATAAAAATAATTAATTATATAATAAGAAATCTCTATTTATTATGTGCAATGCTTTCCTTTAAAGGTGTCTTGGTCTTATTGTCATATCGTAGATATTTGTATTCAATAATAAATTGTTGAATTTTAAATCATGTTATTGTAATCAGTTGATTAAGAGCATCAGCATATGATTTAACATTCTGTGTTAAGTTGCCTACTTAGTAAGAAACAACCATACAACATTGGAGGCTTATGTGGCTAGCACAAATACGCCACCCAAGATATTATCTTTAGGTTATTTATGACCTTTGAAGGTATTAAGTCTGAAAATGGGAAAATAAATTATTTCAAACAGTTTTGTAATCTCTTTAATTATTTTGTTTAAATCATTTGATTATATTTATTATGGTTGCTATGGCAATATGGAAAGCTGGAAGCATTGTGAATTCCTTTTTTTGAATATTTCTCGGTATGGTGTTTATTTAAGCCTGAAAGAAAACGTTAAGAAAGCATTGGGAATTCCTTATTTTTGTTATTAAATACACTAGTATTGTATCAGTGGAGAGGATATATTTATTAAAAAGATAGTTTATAAATAAATAGTGTAGGGATATTAGAAATAAATGAAATTACCTTTGTTGCCTGGGTAGTACATGGAGTATTATTTAGTCCAAAAGGTATATGGGGGACATACCTTATTGACCAAGATTGAGAAATAATCGTAAGCAGATCAATAAGACATAACATAGTTTATAAATTTAGATAGATGATAAATTATACATTATGAGCCATAAATATATTTGCTTCTCATTTTTGTGAAGGATCATAAAGTAGTGGGATTATTGAATATGTACTTGGTTTTTTTTTGGTTTTTTTTGTAGGTTATCCCCTTTCAATGTCATACATTAATTGATAATTATATTCAGTTGAACCCAAATGGTAATTTTGGAAACTATCAATCCTTTAACATAATTGAACTTTCACTTACTTACTGCTTGTATCTTGCTATTAGGTTTATTGATTAATAAACTGTTATTATCCATTTATGGTTTTGGTTTGATCATTTGCATGTAAGCGGGGTACACTTACTCATTCTAAAACATCAGATACAGCTTCTCATTTGAGGGTGATTGCATAATAACCAGACTGCCGACACTGCCAGTGTGCTCCAGGAAGCCAGAAATGAGATCTTATAAATTGTACCTACATGTATTTCAATGGGATTTGATAAAGTTCAACCTACTTCGGTTAATCTGCAATGGCAATTTCTAAAGCATTAAGTAACACTTCTGGTGGATGTTCTTTGTCAGCGCCAGGTTGTATTCACCAATTAATGTTCATGCACATGGTATTCTTTATACATCTGTCAAATAATCAGAGCTTATGTTTAGTTTTAGTACAATAGAATTTATATCTACAAAGATGTAACCTTCGGAAAGAAATTATCATTATTTTCACATACTTTTATAAAGTATTGTTCCCCGCCGTTCGTACAAACACATGATTATTATTATGGGTTCGTCTTTATTTCACACTTTTTGTGGCATAATAATATAAAATGTTCAAACTTAGTGTAATTGATAGACGAATGCCTTGACTTCATTCTATAATGCACATTTGCTGCATGGGATATGCAGATGTAAGCAATTTCATTGATCAAGACTTTGGGTCACGATAACTCTGCTTCTAAGTGAAGTAGAATGTTCACACTTGGTGAAGATGCTCGTTAGGTGAACGTCTTGACCCAGTTTCGCGATTAATCTTTTCATAGTAGGTTAAGCAGCTGTCCGTCTCTCCAAGAACAACTCTGTTCAGTCTTCATGCAGATGTTCCTTATGTGAATTTCTTCAATGAGCTTCATGATAATCCTCGTCTGTGCATGCTAAGCAGATCCCACGTATGTTTCTGTGCATCAGATCTTCTGGCACATTAGAACTGTGTTTCTAATGGAGGTATATGTTCAAACTTGACGCAGATGAGAATGTCTTGACAGCTATGACAGATATCAGCAATTTGACTGGCCGCGACTTCGGAATAAAATAATTTGAAGTGATGACTCGGTGAATAGTTTCATTACATCAATACCCGCTCCCCTAATTCGTAGATCGAGTTTACTGAGGTAACACACTACACCATATGTCTCTCCTACGAATAAATGGGGTCTACTCAACCCAGATGGTGTCTCTTAATTTGAACCTCCGTGGTATCTCTCTCTCAATGCATGTCTCCTCACTGAGAATTTAGCGCCTGTCTACCAATCATCCTGAGCTCCGATGGTTTTCTACCCTTGGGTTTCGACTCTCAGTTATCCAATTGTCAAATATGACGTAATCAATTATAATGGTTGGTCACTAATCCAAATGATGCAATGGCAACTTTCCTACTATAAGTGATAAACATGATATTCTTGTTTCACCCAGAATTGGCTATATTTTGGTTTTATAAATCTTTTATGTTTCAACACATCACTCATTTTAATTTGAGTGTGTGAGATATGAGAGAGCGGGAGAGAAATGGGGTTTAACGTCCACTCGACACAAACTAGTTCATTTCGGGACTAACACATGGTTCCATTTTATTTCAATAATTCGCTTGCGTGTAGGGGTCTTTAGCTGTGGGAGGACCCGGAGAAAACCCACGAGGTTGGACATGGGACCCTACTCTTTGTCACGTACAACCGGCGAATCGAAACCCCGCCAGTTGACTCAATGACAGACCGTATGATAGAGCGCGCGCGTGCTAACCATTCGGCCATCCAACCCCCGCGTGAGATATGACTTCTCTATAATATGATGCTATTATTAATTTAAAGAGCAAAAATTCGACAATAGTCTTACATGGTTTCCGCGCAACCAATTTCAATCAAATAACCGAAAAAGTACTGAAAAATCACAGGCTGGACGCTGGTAGAGAATGGATGAAATCACAGCACATCCGCCCCACCCCCGCTCATTTCTTTGGTGGATTTCTTTACCACATACTATAAGATATTTTCAAATCACACTTTTATAATGTATAACAATTCAAGACGGGTAGTCTGGTAGGAGCACTTCGGATTGACATGAGCTGGGAAAATGGTTCTTGCTTTTGATAAAAGATCTATTTGAGTACAACGCCAGGAAAAAAATCCAGCTACAGGCGTTTTGGTTTTCGTACCCGTTCGACTTATAACTTTTCGTCACTTTTTTCGGCATGCTGAACATATATTTGTGCAGTATAATGCTTTTCCGCTATCAGACCATCGACAAAATCAAATATCCATAACTGCCCACCCAAAAAGCTAAGCTAGATCAGTGCATTTATATTACTAACTGCATGAACTTTGTTGCGTAATGTTCAGCATCGTCACGTGCATCAAAAGTGACAACTGTCAGATATTTTCAGTGATGGGGTAAACTCGTCAGGCGTCCCTAATTGTCCTACTCCACAACACTACACCTCATTTACTAACATGTTGCAAAATGTTCAGCAAATTCATATGTATCAAAAAAAAAGACCACCTCCCGACATTTTCAGTGGTTGGATATCCCCGCCGAGCTGGGCGATTTACCAATACTGACTAAACACTACGAAATACGACCGCATTATTGTGGAAAACTAACAATACTTCAATTATGTTGGGTAATATCCAGACGTTCCTATTTCCCCACACCGAAGACTAAGCCAAATGAGCCCATTTACTTATGGCACGAAACTTGTTGCATACGAATAGTGGGGTATCCCAGCCAGAAATCGAATTGCTCCACCCCAAAGGCTAATGTACATTACCACATGACTAACACAAAATGTATCTGAAAACCATCAACATATTCCAACAAATAAATGGCCACTGCCAGGCATTTTCAGTGATGTAGTACCCCTACCACGCGGAACGCTTCCAACAATAACTGACTAACCGCGCTCACTGTAACTCTTCATATCGAGAACGAACGAATCTCTTGAAGACCTTAGTGATTCGGATCATAAACCCTTGACACACGAATCCAATTCTGATCAAGACGAGGACGTATACTAGTCTTTTTAGCTGCTCAGTGACTAATGAATTGCCTTACACAGAACATTTCAGACATGTCACATAAGACAATTATATAAATCACAGGTTACTAGATATTTATTTCTGGCGAGGTGTCGATGTAGATTCCCTTGTGGTTATTAGTGAATGAAAAGCAGTTCAAATTATCTGAAGTTGAGCGTCATCAGCCCACCCCCACATTATCCCCTGATACATATAACATTCTTCGCAATAGATTGAAGTCAATGCCAAACTATACATCCTTGTGAAATGCAACCATACCAATAAGATCAACCAACTAAAATAACCGAAGCGCCTATTAAAACATCTCAGAAAAAATATATTACCAAAACTGTTATCAGTCTTAGCCTTCCCACTGGTGACAATAGAGAACACAAAGCCCTCAAAGAACTTGAGAAAAACAGGGCTATCACCACAGTTGTAACAATCAATATACCTGATTACGTCAGCACTGTCAACACTCTTCAAGTCCAATCAAACCAACGAAAGACCCCATTTCTGCTCATCAAAGTACGAAACACCCGAAGCTCGCCTGCCACCAGCAAAATCCACCCAAAGCCAGGTTACATGCGTGCTCTCGAAATTCTGTCTACTACAAAACAGCCCAAAACCCTTCGAAATTTGTATTCTCACTTGACACCAAAGACTTTTTTAATAACATCAATGTAAGTTCGTCTCCTATGATGCTGTTGATTTGGTCACGCCCTCCTCCCACCACCCTTTACTTGTTCATCTCAACACAAAGCATAATGAAATTAAGTTCACCGTGAGCGGAGAACGAGACAAGTCTTCCTTTCTAGATGTCATTATCAGAAGAAACATCAAATCACTCCAAACTTCAGTTCATAGGAAACAAGCCCACAGCTATCAGTATCTCCATTACATAGGCTACCCAACCACCCGTATCAGACCAAGAACGCCACCTCAATATTTGCGACCATGATCTCCTCCATAATTGAATTTCAAACAATTTTTTTCAACATTTAACAAAAAAAAAAAAATGCTACTCAACACCACAAACTCCACAAAAACTGAGCCATCACCCATCCGCGTCAGCAAACAATTCCATGCCAGTTCATCACCAAATCAGACGATTATGGTGGATATTGATAGGTGCGTAATAATTTTATGTATTAAAATCAAGGTGTTGAGTGTGTTTATGGTTACTTACAATTATGACAATACATTTAAATTTTTACAAGGATTATTCATCTTGAGGTCGGATACCAAAACTAAATCGTCTATAAAATAAATTGCCCAAGGTAGATGGCAGTGGATTTTTTTCTTGGGGTACTATGTACATACCTCCTCGTAAAAAATTAAAAATCGCTTGTTTCGGATTTTTTCCCAGGTTGGAGTGCCTAGGGATAAAGTCCAATATTTCAAAAAGTTACATCATGCTTATCACTAACCTTTCAACTCGAATTTCTCTCCAGAACGTGCTGAAATAATTGTCGGCGAATGGTGATATTAATAAAGAGTTTGACATTAATGCCATAACAACCATAGTATGCGCTAGGAAATGATTGTAAATCACTGTGCTTTGTATAAGGGTGTACCGCGACGGACTATTTAAAAACAAATAACTGCAAATGGTGCTTTCCAAAAGATATTCTGAGCACAAAGCCCACAGAGGCTGCTTTGCTTATCAAATCACAAACAACGTAAATTCAAGACTAAAAGGAGACCAAAACTATGTAAACATTTACTTCATTAAGATTTGTGGGTTGATTTGTCTTTGTTGGAGAGTATATCTGCACCGATTAGCAGTTCACAAAAATAGCTGAGCATGCGCGTTGTATCATAAGGCGTGTTATTGAGTCAACTGACGTGGTTTCGATTCCCTGGTTGTACGTGACAAGGAGGAGGGTCGCATATCCAACTTCATGGGTTTCTTCCGGGTTCACCGGATTCCTCCTACGGCTAAAGATTCCTACGCTCAAGCGAATTATTGAAATAAAATTGAACTCTCTCTCTCTCTCTCTCTCTCTCTCTCTCTCTCTCTCACT